AACCAAAATACAACTATCTAAGGTGTTTCTTAAGAATATAACACAAAATATGAGATGAGTGTGATGACACTAAAATATTCAATAAAAATAATAATGAAATCATCATGTAAAATAAATATTGCAAAGTCATAATGAAAATGATCATAATTTAAAAGTACAAAATCATGCTAAAATAAGTCTAATAAGTATTAGTTACATGATTAAACATTAAAGAAAAATTAAAATTAAATTATGTATTTTAAATGTCTAAACCAATGTAAACAAAAGAACAAATATTCAACATTATTGTCATTCTTAGTGTTGAATTAATTTATTTGGTTACCATAGTATTGATTTGATTTCGAATTGAGTTTTATTAGAGTTACCAATATCTATGGACTATAACCATTATAGGACCATTCAAAATTCTAAGTCTCAAAAAACTTACAAAATATGTTAGAAGATAAAAATTATGAAAACGTATAAGTAATATTTAGAAATTACATCAAAGTAAATACTTTTATGTATAAAATAAATTTTAAAAGTTATATATATACTGTCGGGTTGGTTTGGTCTCGGGTTGGCTTTTTTTAGTTAAAACCAAACCAACCCAAGTATAGTTGGATTTTTTTTTCCAATACCAAACCAAGTCAAACCAAACCGTTAGTTGGGGATTTTTTCGATTTGATTCGATTTTGTACACCCTTAGACACAAGTACTCTTAAACTAAACACATAATTCTAGGCTTCTTCTTGATTGCATCTTCCATGACTCAAACACAAAATGACATTTACTTTGAACCATTTACTTAACGAGAAAAGGATAAAATATGTCCTTAAACTATATAAATTAAGTAACTATGTCTGTTATTAAATCGAAAAAATGAAATACATGAGATTCTTGTAGATTTATTTTCCCTACTGGGGAGGAGACCAAACTATTAAATTGGTTGATTGGCTCAGTGGATGTATCACCAATATTTAAAGGTAAGTTTTATAAAATGGTTATATCAACTACATGTTGTGTGAGATTGAGTGTGTCAGTTAAGAACTCACACATTTAAAAGATGAAAGTAGTAAAAATGAGAATATGCTTAGATGAATGTGCGATCACACTAGGAGAAATAAGATTAGAGACAAAGATATGCAAATATATCGCAAGGTGAGAGTGACCTTTGTGATGAACAAGATTAGGGAAGCAAGATTAAGATAGTTCAGACGTGTGAAGAGGAGGAGCGCAAATGCCCTATTGAGGAGGTGTGACTTGTGAGATGTTGGTAGTGATAGGTTTAAGGAGAGATAGAGTTAGACCAAACTACAAAAACTGGGGAGAGATGATTAGACAAGACATAGTACATCATCATCTCATAATCAATGCATGACTCTAAGTATAAGGCAAGAAGGTCAAGAATTAGGGTAGAAAACTAATATGTAGTTGAGCAATTTCTTTTTTTCTTGTAGGAGAGCATGATTCTAGCTTGAAGTATCCTATTTGCTCCTTCTCATTTTCAATATTGTCATTATTATTATTATTCTATTATCTTTGATTCTATCACTACTGTTATGTGTGTGCTTTGGTTATTTTCTCTTTTCTTAGTATTTTCATTACAACTTCTTACACTTTATATTTTTAAAACCTATTTTAAAATATTTTTTTTTCTTGAATGAAAATCTATCGAAAATAACATCTCTGGCATATAAAATAAGAATAAAATTTGTGTATAATTTACTCTCTTCAAACCCCACTTATACAACCGAATATATTGCTATTGTTATGCAGTAGTGAGTGCAATACAACTGGTGGTAGTCAACAAATCTAGTGAAACTATATATTTAACTCCCATTTAATATAAGAGCTAAACCCTTCTAGCTTCCAAAAGGACACTTGCTTTTTTCTAGATGCTTATAATACCCCCTTTTTTCACAAAAATAAAAAACTAAAAAAACCAAAAAAAAACTTCCAAAATTTCCAACTTTTCTATGATGAAAGACACGTGAATAACATGAATATTTTCTTGAATAAATTTGTCTTCTTATTCAAAGAACTCATTATCACATGGACCAAATTAGCTGTGAAAATTAGACCCCACTCAACTGAGATGAAAAATACATAACTTTTAAAGAACCAATAATAGAGCTCATATATGGCCCCCCCTAAAACAATTTAATGTCATCTACCCTTATTTCTATAGTATAAAGTATAATATACTATAATAATTTTGTACATGTAGACAAAGTTTTTGAACTAATTGTAGACCCCCAAGACCCTAGTATGTCTCTATAATATGTTTATCTTATCCACCAAATATTCCTCTTTGCCTCCCTTAACTAATCATAAAAAAAATCAATTATAGTACAATGTGTTAAATTTTTTGTATACGGTGTATATTAATTTTCTATGTATCGTATTAATTTTATCGAATGTTTTCTAAGGGACATGGCCTTTCTTAAATATATAGTTAAAGGTATGATAATATCGCCTAGCATCATTAGTGCTATCAAGTTTATTATATATGATCATACATTTAATTAGATTTACCTTTTTATATTACAATTATCAAAAGGATTTGAGTATTCAACCTAAAACTTTAACACAACAAATAAAGTAGCTTATAAAATTCGGATTCATACCGAAAAATTTCACATTTGAGGTAAAATGTTCTCGTACACTGTATGACATTTATTTCTAAATTAAGAGACTAGAAACTAACTCTGGTGGCTGATCAATCGTGGCCGTTAGACCAGAGAGTGATTAACAGCTAGCCTCCACGGCCTTCGGGTTGTGGTGCTGTCGATGATCATTTTCAGCTCACATCATGGTGTTGAGATGGTCTAATGGTTGTCTAACAAATTCTTCAAAGTTTTGCCCCTTCGGGGACATTTAATAAAATCGGAACGATACAAAGAAGATTAGAATGACCCCTGCTCAAGAATAACACGTACAAATCGAGAAATGATCCAAAAATTAATAAATTGTTAGGTCTGCTTTTGGACGGCTTAATTATTCCTTTTAGCATTTGAGAAAAAAATAATAATAATAAATTAAAAAAAAATAAAAAAAATATATATACTAGATACATGCGCCTGTGCTAGCACTGGCCCAATATGTATCTTTTTTGTTTTAATTTATGTGACATAAATAAAATTTGGAGAGTTTATAAAAAAATTATTTAAAGATATTTTAAGTTATTCAGTATTGTAATTTATAATATTTTTTTACGTAATTTCTCTCATATATCTTCTAAACTTGTAAGTTGTTAATTATTATGATTTAAGTGCTTTTTATGTCATTTTTAATAATATATATTACCTATTTTGTTTCAATTTATGTAGCGCTGATGAAATTTTGAGGGTCAATCAAATTTTCTATATGACTTTTAAATATTTAAGTTGTAAATTATTGTGATACTTGTTACTACTATTTCAAATTATATTATTAATTATTGTGATTTATATTATTTTTTTATGACATTTCAAATGATATATGTCATTTTCTTTATTCTAATTTATGTAGTACTAATAAAAAATGTACAATGCACTAAATTTTTTTTGCCTTTTAAATATTTTAAGTTGCTAATTATTATTATAATAATAATTTTTCATGTAATAATGCAATAGAAATCTAATTTGCCTTTTCAAAATAACCTTTCATAGAATACACATGGCTATCAATTAAAGGAAAAAAAATTGAAGACAGAGGGGGAGCAAAAGCTACATGAGTTGTGATGGGCAATTTTGTCATTACACTCAAAAAGTATACCATTAAATGGCCAACATTAGTTTCTATTTGACCAATAATATGATTCCATGTTATTGAAATTACCAAATTATCCTCTAAAGCTACCAGGCAGGCATGTTGACCTCCTGCCTGGTTGAACAATACATAATTTTTAAAAAAATTATTTGGTTAAGCGGACCTACAATAACATGTAATCGGTTAAATTATACTAATAATTCATATTTAGTTATACTATCGACAAATATAATTTAAATCTCTTCTAATATAGTATATACACTAATATACTATATATTGAATTGCTCAACATTTTTTATTGTACACGACTACAAGGTCTAGCCAATACTTAACTGCTTTCTCTTTTATATAGACTTGGAGTTAGGTGCGCAAGAAGTTCATTCGAATTTTCTTTGCTGCAAAACTTACATTGTATATATACAAAATAACATGTACATCCTATTTAATATACAAGTAAATGATAAATGTATATAAAATAGATGTTAAAGTTATTTCATATGTATATACGATACACGATGTTGGATCTCTTTAACCTCTTTTCATATTTACTTTTTAAAATTATAAATCTTATCAAATGAAAATCTTGATTCTGCTATTAGTAAGATGCTTAGGAATATTTTATGTCCTATCACCATAAATTTCTTTGATTCACATTGCATGTAACTTGTGGATATTCTTCTTTTATGTCTTCTACTCATAATTTTTTTCTCTTATTTTCTACTTTGATCTAAAAGTGATGTGTACCAATTATACTTCTCATTTGTATATTAGTCACATGAACTAGATGCTCTAACTGTACCTAACACCTAATCTCACATGAAATCCCTTAAATATGTTGGAGGTTTTGTCTCTCAAATTGTACTACTTTTAGTTCCACATCACATGTCAAATTTCCTTTAAAGTTAAAAAGGTCATTTTCCCAAATGTATTTCCCTCATGGACTTGTTTAGACGCAGTTTCAGAATTTAAAATTTATGAGTTTCTATAATAATCTTAAGTCAATATTACAAACAAAAATGATTGAATCTACGTGAATCAGTAACCATGCTTTCAGATTTTTTCCTGGCTTTGTCCTCGTAGCTTACATACATGGACATTTATACTCAATGTTTTCAACGTAGAATATACATAAGAAATTATTAAAATTCGATAAATACAAAATTATGCACTCATAATTTCAAAATTACAATGAGTTCAATATTAAAAAATATTAAATATCGAACTCATCAAATTTAAATACTAAATTTGACTTGTATGTGGCCCATCTTAACTGCTACTACATACCTTCTACTTAATTTATCTTCCCTACAAAAATGGGTTGTGGAGTCCAGTCTCCCTTCTCCTTCTCATCATCAATAACTTCATTTTTTTTTCCCAATGAACTATATTTATTGACTTTTACCTTGTATTAATTAATTCATCTTTATATAGGCAAATATTATTTGGTGTTGTAGAAATGAGGAAGATAAATTTTAGTAAGGTTTTAGATTGTTTTAGTACTCTTTCTTCTTCTGGATCTTGTTTTTGCATCAATCAATTTGGAGTTCATGATGATGATGATGATGGATTTGAAAAGAAGCCATTGATGAATAATAATTCATTAAATCAAGATGATGAACATGAGTTGATGAGGTTGAAGGATGTTATTAATGTAGGACCTCCAACTCTAGCTTTCCAATTGAAGCCTAAGGTAACTACATATGTTTTTCAAGAATTTTATTTACTTAATTATGTCTTTAACACGTTGGTTCGTGAGGAGAATAGGTAGAAGCTAGATAGGGATTCAGCTGAATCTAATAGCTATTGCTTAAACAATGTATATATGTTAAGAAATTCATTAAATATGTGCAGATATAAAATTTACAACTCAACACTTGAAATCGATGTGTTCTAAAATCCAATTCATGAAGTTGAAATTTTGGCTCTGCCTTTGCCTTTCATGTGTTGAGTTTGATTCTTTTTTCTAGGCCAAACATGTGTAGGGTGAAATAATTTAGAACTCAACACTTCTGCTTACTTTGATATCATGTTAGATTGGATTGAGTTCTCGTCTACTTATTTAATTATATTGTCATGACCAGCTTTAAAAATCTTCGATTGAGTTAGTTAATTAATTTGGGCAATATTTGTGTATAATGAAGTTGACTGATTTTTTTAATAATGTGAAGGATAATTTTAAAGAAATGAAAATATGATTGTGAAGTCCTATTATTGAACTTAATTATTTGAATGGTGTATAGATTGTGGTGCTAAGAGTTTCCATACATTGCAATGGTTGTGCAAGGAAAGTTGAAAAACACATCTCCAAAATGGAAGGTAAATATGTCAAGTTACTCAATTCCCTCCTATATAAAATACATTATTTAATTTAGTTTGTTTTAGGTTATCAATTTAGGTTTACTATATTTAGGTGTTGTTGTAGATCATCTTAATTAATTGGTCTTTAATCGTTCGTATATAGAAATTAAACTTTAATTTTTGAATATGATGCATAATATGTTACCCGTAAGAATTCATCATATACATGATCAGTTTATGTTGGATGTCAACCTATTACAACTCATCTCCTTTATGCGGGGTTGCCATATGATATTGTGAACAACTCATACATACGATCTAAGATAAACTTAAATGAAGCACTATAGTCAGTAAATTTTTTTAATAATTGTCAGCATAGTCTACAAACGCGCGATATTAAATATTAGTTACTAAATTCATATTATATTTTTTCTCAAGCAGGGGTGGATATGTACCAAGTAGATTTGGAGACCAAGAAGGTTGTTGTTATTGGAGACATTATACCTTTTCAAGTGTTGGAAAGTGTTTCAAAAGTTGTCAAAAATGTTGAACTTTCAACTTGGAACGCTCCTGAATGTTGAATTTTATAGAAAAATTAAAGAAGGAAAAAAAAATTAAAAAAAGAGCCAAAAATATTTATGATTGAATAAAAAAAAAGGCTATGCAAATATTGCAACTATATAATATTTACATGTACTATTCTGTATAACCAGCATTAAAATGAAAATGAAGCATATGTACATTATGTAATTTTGTATCAGAAAAGAAAAATTGCATCAACGTTTCGTAATATATTATATCCGATTGAAACGTAATTATTATTATGATTGTCTCAGAAGATGATTTATAATTTTTTTTTTCAATTGATACATTCTTTACTCTTAAAAAAAATAGGAGTAAAATTTGCGTCATTCAATTTTCTCTTAACCTCACTTATGAAACTACACTAAATATATTATTATTGTTTTTGTACGTTCTTTACTCCTTCAATTCACTAACATAAATCCCATTTTATGTACCATTTTTGCCATCAAAGTTTTCCAAAGGTAAATTATTGATGATTCAAAACTCAATGAATAAAGATTTTGTCCTATCGTTCTACTCTTCTTTATTTAAATATCAATAAAATTGAAATTCATGATATGCACTTGACTCGTATCATGTGTGAGTTGTGCTTTTATAATTTCACTGAATTAAAGGATATACTTTGATGAGCAATGTTAAAAAAAAAAGATTATTACGTATTTTGTTCTTAAAATATATTTATATAATACCGTGTTTACATTTCACATGTCTTGTAACTCATTAATTTGAGTAAAACTATAGTTCTATAAAACAAATTTAAAATCTTGTAATTTTAATCATGTTATATTTTTTTTTTTATGTATTAATTAGTTCTTTAATTATTATTGATGAACAATCAAATATGTACCTTCCTCTAAATTAAATATAATGGGAAAAAAAGAAAATAGAAGATCAACCTGAGTTTATGATAGAATAGTTAAGATTCTTCCATGAATTCATCCTTAATTAAAGATCTCAACATTCAGTATATGAAAAATAGAAAAAGTACCCTTGTTTAAAGTGTCACCGCAATGCACGTTCAGATTTAAATTCACTCTAATATAAATATCGAACATCGAACACAAAACGGAGAAGATTTCGTCACACACAAACGACGTGTCACATTCTAAGCCACTTCACGTTTTACAAAGTACACACATTAACACTCTATCCAATTTCAGCAGTCTAAAACTCTTCAAATCGACTAATCTAATAATCCCCTTTTCGCCAAGCTCAAAAAAATGGCAAAAACCCTAGTAATCTTCACCATTGTTCTTCTCCTGTTCGCCATTTCTATATCTTCTTCAAACCCGGATCCGAATCCGGACCCGAATCCGGATCCGGTACCATCTGAGGCACACAAGGAGCTAATCAGATTCGGGTTTCCCATAGGGTTACTTCCCAGGAACGTTAATGGGTATTCTCTGAACTCCAGTTCCGGCGAGTTCCTGGTTTCTCTGGGTGAAAAGTGTAAAATTACTCTTCCTCCAGACAATTACCTTGCGACGTATTCGAAGAAAATTAGGGGGAAAATTGTTGAGAATCGTATTGCGGAGCTTGATGGGATTAGTGTAAGGGCTTTTTTTAAGTGGTGGGGGATTACGGGAATCAGATCTAGTGGTGAGAATTTGGTTTTTGAAGTTGGAATGGTTACTGCTAAATACCCTTCTATGAATTTCAATGAAAGCCCTTATTGTGAAGGGAAAAAGCGTTCCTCTTCCTGAGGTAGTTTTTTAATCTGTTTTGTTTTATTTTAATAAAGTTGTTTCCTTTTTGTATATTGTATCTATGGTAAGGTCTGAGTATACTCTACCAATATGATTGTCTATTAGATATTTGGTCAAATGTTGAAGGCTATAGTAATTATCATGTGCTTTCTGTTAAGTTGTTGATGCCTTTGTTTTTTTTTAATATACTCTGAATTTTTTTTTCAACTTTGTCATTGAAAAGATTGAGCCTTTACTACTTTAGTATGTTTGGTAACTTTTTCAACTTTGTCATTCAAAAGATTGAGACTTTAGTATGTTTGGTGACACTTCAATTTTAACTTTCTCACTTTGCTGTTTGTTTGAGAGTGACAGGATTGTTGAGGAGCATAAGATTTTAATGGTAATTCTGGTGTTGTGTGATATTTAGTTGGTGTTTTATAGTATTTCTCACTTTCTAAACTTCGTGTTCGGTCAAATAGTGTATTGTAAAATGGAAGAGAAGAAGTATTGGGTTTCAGTTGCGATGCTTTGGGTACTCTTCAACAGTGTAGTAGCAGTCTAGCATCGGCTTGAACATTATATTTACTTTAAATTGAACAAGTTGAGAGCATGTACATGTATATTTAGAGCCTGTTTGGATGGACTTATTTTAAGTGTTTTTAAGCCAAAATAACTTTTAAGAGGGTGTTTGGATTAGCTTTTAACTGCTTTTGGCTTTTAAGCTCTTTTTCTATTTTTTGTGGTGTTTGGGAAATATAAAGTGTTTTTAAGCTAAAAAAGTACAAAAAATAAGCTAAAAGCTAAAAGCTGGGTATGACAAACTTGTGACTTTTAGCTTATAAGCTATTTTAAAAAGCAAATCCAAACACCCTCCAGTTGATGCCCACTGTTACAAGCACTATAGCCGTAGTGGGTCAGTGGTATAGTTTACTCCACTGACTTGGAATCCCGTATCTGTCTTTCCTCTTCCATGTAGGAGACACTACCATTTTTCTTAATGGAGTAGTGAATAAGGATACCGCTGTTACCGTTCCCCATTTTTAGCTTTAATAGGGACGAGCTGATTTTTTCTTTTGGTTCTATCAGAACTCTTCATATTTATTGAAGAAAGGACGGAAAACAAACTATTTGATGATTGTGCTACATCTAAGGAAAAAAGTGAAAAAGTTAGTGAGTTAAACAGTAGCATCTAGCAGCAGTCAGGTAAATGCTTATTAGAAGTCCGTCTTCTGGAAATATTTTGTGGTGTTGAGTGGTCTTGTTGGTTGACTATTCTTCTAAGGATGGTGAATTTTAGTTGCTCATCGTCACATTAATGTCCTCACTGTATTTCCCTATTCAAAGCAGTGACTTAAGTAAATTTTCTGCAACATTTTTTTTCTATTATATTCTTGGTAGACTGTACATCATGTACTAATATCGAAATGACTCATAACTCACTTATCATTGTATTCTTTGTATCCCAAAATAGTTTTACCTGAATCTGACACGCCAATGATTGAAATGATATCTGGTAATGCTAGTCCATCAATGAGCTTCCTAACTAGTTCCACCTCCTTGTGAAAACCTAATATTATTTGACCAGTTATTGATGATGAGTGATGTTTGATTTGTTGGAAGAGTTATACAAGAATGAGACCCTATTCTCAAGATTTTCTCATGTAAATTGGACTTCTTTTGATAAGCTTGATCCTTTTTGTAGCATTGGAAAGTGAGTAAATAAAATGCAAGAGACCATTATCTTTAACAAGAATTGAACTAATGATATTTTTGCCTCATATGCCACATCTAAAACACGTGTCCAAAGATCTCTATATAATTCTTGCTCAACGTTGTTGAACAAAGATCTTATGAATTCTAGGTCTTCTTTCACCAGGCCAATATCTTCTTTTATAAAAGCAATTGAATAAGCTTGAAATTTAGCAAAATATACTTTGATAGAGTACCTATTGGTTATTTTGATGATAAATTGTTTAATATATTGGCAAGTGTTGGAGCACTTATTAATGAGGTATCAATTCTTGTACATGACTTGAAAATAAATCAAGGAATGAAGAGAGTACCAATAATATTTTTTTTGCAACTCTTGACTTGTTGGAAAATATGGAAATCCTGAAGGGAGATTGTTCATTTGGAAGCCTTGGACTTATCTCAACTCCCGCTTCTCAATGAGTGATAGACCACTCTTTTATGAATCTTCTACTCAAAAACTTAAAAAAATTGCTTAATTTCGAAGCTCAGTCAATTGCTTTAATAAAGGGAGAAATTAGACCGGTGAAAGACGACTTAGAATTCATAAGATCTATATTCGGAAATGTTGAGCAAGAATTGTATAAAGATAATTTGCACACGTGTTTTACAATGTGACATATGAGACAAAGATGTCATTAGTTCAAATTTTGTTAGTGATACTAGTCTCTTGTATTTTATAAACTCACTTCAGTGCTTTAGAAAAGATTTATCAAAGAAGAGGTCTTCAATTTACTTAAGAAATTCCCAGGAATAGGGACTCATCGTTGTGAACTCTTCCAACAAACGTGTTAAGCTCAAATAAAGCATGAGCTTTAATGGAAAAAAGCGCAAAGGGTGAAAAAAAATACACACACATATATATACATATTTGTCCAAGCCTAATAATTATAAGCATGAATTGCAAATATATGATCAAAGAAATTGAGAAAAATTAACGAATAAGGGAAATATCAATTGTTTAATGTTGCCTCTTTAAAAGAGGATTATTGGCAAGAAAAAGTATACCTTAGAACCTTGATGACGACACTAAAACGCACATTAAGGTAATGTTGCCTCTTTAAAAGAGGATTATTGGCAAGAAAAAGTATACCTTAGAACCTTGATGACGACACTTAAACGCACATTAAGGCGAAGCGCTTAACACATCTTGAGCCTTGCTTCAGAGTTTAGGATCGCCTTTGACAACACTACAACAAACCAAAAAGCAACTTGTCAAAAAATTGTAGGTTTTATGGAGACAAATTGGATAGTGAGGAAGCTTATCAGTGGATCAACTGATCAACATACCTAGATATTATTTCAATCATCAATATGGTGAATTTAGTTAAAACTACTCTAGCATACAAAGTATGTAATGATAAGTCAGTTCTAGTCATTCGACATTTGTGCGCGGTGCACAATCGACTAAGAATATAACACAAAAAAGATGTTGCAAAATTATTTTAAATTCACTAAGATTGGATGGAATATTTTAATCCAGTCACTAGATTGAATGGAAATAGAGCAAGGATATTGATATTGGTGATGAGTTGCAAAAATTGGTATATCCTTTCCAAAGACGAACATGATACCATCAGAAGCCCACAAGGAGTTGATCAAATATGGGTCCCCATTGGGATATTTCCCAAGAACGTCAATGAGTATTTTTTATACTCTGGTTCGAAAGATCTTGTGGTTTCTCTGGGTGACAAGTATTTTATAAACTGTATTTGCCTTGCTTTCTGTAGATAAATAGAGCCATGCCATGTTACAAACATAAATACCACAAATTTATGGTTCTTTTGGGTTTCCGAAAGAATGTAACATTTCAGGTTGTATTTATCTTTTAAATTTTAATAAAAAGGATCTTTAGGGTCTGCTGAGATGCTGAGAGATCTTCCTTGTGAAAGGCTCATGGAAATTTCTTAAAGAATACTATCTTTATTTATGTTATTTGCTTAGAGGTATGTGTACTTAAATATGTTTACTAGGAATCATTTTGAATTTTTCTTGTTGGCTATTGGAACACCAGCTTTTGAGAAGTCATTCCTGATTAATGGTCTTTTTTCTACTGTGAGTTACTTCTTTTGTTCCTCATTTTTTAAAAAAAGTTCCTGTGCAGCATACTTCAATATTTCCTCGAGTTCCAAAAAAATTGCAAAGGTCTAGATGTTCTTTTGACATTATTAGACTGCTCAAAAGCATTACACAACACTACCTTATTTCATTGTTGGGAACTCTTGTTTTATGCATTTGGTCTTTCCAAAGTATTTGCACTACTGAGTAAAAGTCTGTGAAGTGCCCCTTTTTATTTGAGTAACTTAAGATTGGAGTTGGAACAACTTTCCGGGAGGAAAAAAAAGAAAGGGAAATAAAGGACAGAGGATAGTGGACAGAATCACGAAGACAAGCAAAATAAATTATGATTTCATGGATTTGTACTTGACTTTTTTTGGAAGTTGTTGATATCTCATGTTTCTTTTTTTTTTTTTTGCTGTAAGTGTGATAGCTGACATAAGTGGTGTTTGAGTCATTGAGTTGTTAGTTACCTGTTTGTTATGATTGCTCCTTTATTTTGCAACTCAAGAAGCTGTACACTCCAAATGGTTACTGAATGATATGAAGGAAAAGGTAAAATATACATCTAAATTCCTTCCATTTTTGTTTGTTTAATTGATCATCTTTACTTTTTGGTGAATTCAAAGTTGCTGGTAGAACTTGTTAATAAGCTTTTTGGTGAAGTCATTTCGAGTGTCTTTGTCCATCTGCCTATCGTCGTTCGTCGGTGTTTCAACTTCCCTGTCACTTGTTAAGTACTACGTCATCCTAGCTCTTTGGCAGTGTTTTCTGTGCTAGCGATTATGTCATAATACATATTTAGGACAAGCTAAAGGGATAGAGGAAAAATGCTTGCCAAGTTGATATATTAGGTAACTTTCTGTTATGCTTTTCCTTTTAGTCCAGTAAAAATAATGTGATTATTTAAGAGTTTTTGATGAAATAGTAGTTTTGATATGAGAATTTAGGTTTTTTAGGGGTCGTATGGTAGCTGGTTTGGAGTGAATATGCAGGTACTAAATGTTGCATAAGTAATAGCACATCTGGTAACCGGTTAGGAAGTAAGTTGTTCATGTATTAAATTAATTGGTCTGCAATTTAGTACTTAATCCATGCATAAAATAATACATCTATTTTTCTCATAACTAATTATGTATTCACTAATTCCTGCATAATTATAACCAGCTACCGAACTACCCCTTATGGTAGTACTAAAACATAGTATATAGCTCATTACCTTCAATGTTGATCCATTTATATCTTCTTCAACCTGCAGGGTATTTGTCAACTGCTTCCACTTAATGGCTTATGAAATAAGCCCAACAGTATTGGGCATGATGGTGCTTGATAAAAATCAAAGTTCTCCTATCACATTATCTTATCCGATCGATCGATGATTTAATCAATTGTGCAACAGTTTCTAGATGTACTGTATATATATGCTCTTATTATTATGTTATCTGGAATGTCATTAATAGCTAATAGAGAAGATTGTTGACTCTTTACCTCTGTATAGTATATTTGCTGCTGCTGTGGTTGTGACCTTGGAGTTGATTTAATGGCTAATAGAGAGTTTTTTTCTCTTCAAGTGACTTTTTCCTAATTGGGGGAACTTGTTTTAAATATTTAACTTGTAGTCAGTATTGACAAACTTCAAACGAAAGCATGTTATAACATAATTTGGGGAGAAAAATATGAATTCACACCTCTCCATCCAAATATGCCTCTATTAACATGAATAAAAAGAGTATAGTACAAAATTATTTGAGGATGGAATTGGTGAATGCGACCCTAGCCAACTATAAATAAATAATAACATCAAACAGACTCTCGACTCAAATAATTCATAACAAAATGATATTTAAAATAATACTTATAACTGAAGCAAATAAGTAGATTTTTTTTTTTTTTTCAAAAGACTTTCGATTCAAATAACTCATAACAAAATAATATACAGACGCAAAATGGACAGAAAGAGGTTGTCGTTTTGGATGACTTAAAAAGAGTTGTGGCTAAGGTAAGGTAAGGCGATTAGATTCTTGATTTTGAGCGTAACATGAAAACTTGAGGCTCACATTAATGCAAATGAACTTTTCCCTCTGTCTTCTTCTTATTCATCATCATCCATAGCTCCCATTAGCAGAAAAAAACTAAAGAAAATGACACTCCTTCAAGCTCCATCTTCTCCTACTCTAACATTTCATCAGTATTGTACTTCACAACCCAAAGCAGGTAGCCACCAGTTTAGTATATATGAGTTTTGGACCATTTGTTTTAATGGGGTTTTGAAAAAGATTACTTTTTTAATGAATTTTAGTAAATACCCATTTTTCTATTTGGGTCAAGTTGGGTTCTTGCTGAATTTTGTGTTTTGCTTGTTGATTACACAGGGTTATATGTAGCTGAGAAGTCTTTTCTTCAGTCTACTTTGAGTGGTTCTTGTTTTTTGTCCTCTCAAAGACAAGTGAAAGCTTTGAACTTTTCGTATACATGTTCAAGATTGAGCTCATTTACAGCTAAAGCTGCTTCTAATGGAGGTAATTTTGTTGCAGTTCCTATTTGTTTAATTTGTCAAATACTTTTAAGTATTAGTACTAATTAAAAGGATGCTCTCGCTTGAGCTTTTTGACGAGATGGTTACACAGTTCAATATGGTATCGCTTGAGCTTTTTGATGACACAGGTGTGAGAACATTTTTGGAGAGTCCGAGCAACTTAGTAGACGTGGGTCTGGAAGTTCTAATTTCACCACCATCCAATGAGCAAAAATATTTTCATGTGTTTGGTTCATGAAAAAAAATCAAGCTCATGTGTTGAGACATAATACGATTAAGTAATTAGAAATGTGTTTCTAGACAACTTAAGCTTTTAGATGAAAATGTCACATCCATTAGCACTATAATTGCATAATGTTGTCCTTTTTGTACTTAATCTTGCTGTCGATAAATGCTTGTATTCTGCTACTCTGTTTTGTTAAGTTTGCTTTGGATTTCTATTTAAATTGAATGTGTTCGCGTGTTTGCTTCATCAGATACCAATTTGTTTTTATTTTCTATTCATCAAATGTTGAACTTTATTTTTCAGAAAATTCCCGACGATTTTTCAGCCATGGCTGACTCGAAAATTTGCCTCAACTTTCCTGAAACGGTCTGACAATGAGGCTTAAAATCTCTGCTTCCCCTTAACATATGTAGAAATGTTCAGTTCTATAACTAATTTTGAAGTGGATATATTCGTGGATCATTAGATTTTCACAATTTTTGAAGGACTCATCTTATTTAAGAAAATGCGTTGGGAACTTCTTAAGGCTTAATAAAGGTCCAGACATGATTAGATATGAGCATTCAGTCGGCACTCTTTTTGGCTTGACCAAGAAGTTTTATGTCCTCTGGATGAGGATGTGTCCTGGCGCTGCCCAAAAATAGTCTAAGATTATGACCACAAACCTTAGACTGTCGAATCATGAATGGAGAGGAAGACGTGTCTTTCTCCTTTTCAAAGAGTTTAAAAATATTGATATGGAGGGGTTGCATCCATTTATTCTGCTTCTCTCAAAAGCTACATACAAAGAGACATCTTGTAGTATCCTCCTAATTTGCATCTTAAGAACCTAGTCATGCACACTGTTTTGTTTGAAGCATTCTTATGCTTGAGTAGAAACTTTTTTAAACTGGATTTCTCATTATGCTCGAGTAATTCCTTTAAAATTTCTTCCCGTGCACATGTTGTCATACATTGTTCAGTTTACATTGCTGCTCTTTGAGATATTGTCTAAATATACCTAAGCAGATTCTGTGACTTGCAGCTTGTGCTTCTTCAGTGTCAGGTCAAACAGCCGAGTCTGAAGTACTTAAAGCCCTATCCCAGATAATTGATCCTGATTTCGGGACTGACATAGTCTCTTGCGGATTTGTGAAGGACCTACTGGTTGATGAAAATTTGGGAGAGGTCTTAAAAACAGTACATTCTGACATTCACATTATATTTGAGAAATATTCTCCTAATCCAATCTATTGGAATTTTCAGGTTTCATTTCGGTTAGAGCTTACAACACCAGCATGTCCAATCAAGGACATGGTAAATGAAACACAACTACCACTATTTGATCAAGAATTGATGTGTATATGAAGTGGTACATCATTTAGTTTTCGTAGTTTCTTTTTCACTGCATGTTGTTGGCTTATAATACCCTTTGTCCCAATTATGTGATACTATCCTTTTTAGTACCTCCCAAAAAAAAAGAATGTCAGTTTTCTATAATTGGAAACGATTTAACTTTGAAATTCCTCTTTTATCCTTAATGAAATGATGTATAGCCACAAAAATGGTCAAGGAGTGTTTTAGAACACATATTTCAAAAGTCTTTCTTTTTTTCTGTAACTTTGTGCGAAATCAAACAGTGCCACATAAATTGGAACGGAGGGAGTATATATTAGGGAACATGAGATTTGGACGCATCCTTGTTATTTCTTTTAAATTCATCCTCTTCGGTATCACGTGAGGGTGGTCTTGTGGATCATCTAAGTATGATAGGACTACAAATCTGACTTTCAAATTTTGGATAGTTTGAGCAGAAGGCTAACGAGGTGGTTGCTGAACTTCCTTGGGTTAAAAAGGTCAATGTGACAATGTCAGCTCAACCAGCAAAACCTATCTATGCTGGACAGCTTCCTGCCGGGCTACAAACAATCTCCAACATCATTGCTGTTTCTAGTTGCAAGGTGAAGAATTCCGCAATCTTCAGTTCCTATGCTTTTTAACTCATTAAACATTTCTTGTAGTATGTACTTGTTAGAGTGGGTTAGAGTCCCACACTGATCGAGGAATGAACTGGTGGTATGTTTATATGGACTTGCGCAATCCTCTCTTCATGAGCTAGCTTTTGGGGTTGAGTGTCATATCTATACATGATATCCAAGCTAGGTCCATCCTTGTTTGGACTCCCGGTCCACACTCCAGTTGGGACTAGAAGTTAAGGGGGGTGTTAGAGTGGGTTACAGTCCAACATTGGTTGGGGGTGGTTTGCTTATATGGACTAGGGCAATCATCTCCTCACGTGCTAGCTTTTGGGATTGAGTTAGGCCTATGTGCCATATTTTTACAGTCCTGAAGGTCTATCTAGTCCTGAAGGTCTATCTGTGTCCTCAAGAGCAAATTAAAAAATAAAAGAGATAGGTTAGAAAAGGACAAAAAGCTTTCCTCTAAAAGCAATATTTGAAGATTTGTTATACCGCAATATTTAAATATGTTAGCTGGTGATTTATTGCTCATTCATGTCGATGTTATTGCTTTCCGTAATTCTTGTTTTCAAACATTCAAGGACTTGTTGCATTGACCTTGCTTGTGTGGAAATTTTTCTGCTTTGACCAGCTTAGCATCTGAAATCTCTTGTGTCTTCTTCTTAATTAATATTAACCTTTATAAACCACAGGGAGGGGTTGGTAAATCAACTGTCGCTGTCAACCTAGCTTACACTTTGGCTGATATGGGAGCTAGAGTTGGTATATTTGATGCAGATGTATATGGTCCTAGTTTGCCAACTATGGTGTCCCCAGAAAACCGGATACTTGAAATGGTAACTGTCATTTCCTGGACTAAACTATGTTTTTGCTACTGCATATAAACCACTGAGAGATTTTTGTAGAATGCAGAGAAAAGAACCATCATTCCAACTGAATACATGGGTGTGAAGTTGGTATCTTTTGGATTTGCTGGGCAAGGGCGTGCAATTATGCGAGGTCCCATGGTTTCTGGGGTCATCAACCAACTGCTGACTACTACGGAATGGTATGATATGCTTTGCATTTGACAAGAAATCAAGAACCATCAACCAATTTACTTAAGCCATTTTGTTGAAATTTCTATACCAGAGAAATTCTTCAAAGTTTATTGAAATTTATTACTCTGGAGACATATTAAAAAGATTTATTTTAGTCTAAATTTTTGTCTACATATGATATGTTCCAACATTTGATGCGAATGTGCCATCCATTCTAATTGTAACCTGGAGGCAGTTTATTGGCTGTTTGGAATCAGATGACTTAATCTTGATAAAAGCAATTGTAGTACATATATTGCATTAATGTGTTGTTAGAGGATTAGAGCTTATTTAAGTAAGTTTGCATATAGTCGTAAAAGTTTGTTTTGGATATCACTACAAATGGTCGTTTTGAGGATACGTCTATGCTCTAAATTTTGCAATCTTGAATTACTTTGTTATCCTAAATGTATGCAATTATGCAGGGGAGAATTGGACTATCTTGTTATTGACATGCCCCCTGGAACTGGCGATATTCAACTTACTCTATGCCAGGTTTGCCTAATAAGAATACAACTGATGTGTGCCAATGTTTGTGAGAGTCCTTAGTGGAAATGATTTTTCCCCTTCTTGTTAGCATAATATTAATATATTCTGCTTTGGCTGATTCAACTGTCAGGTTGTTCCTTTGACTGCTGCAGTTATTGTTACTACACCTCAAAAGCTAGCATTTATTGATGTAGCGAAGGGTGTCCGTATGTTCTCGAAGCTTAAGGTCTGTTTCTTTTGTGTTATCTGAAGTGTTGTCCCTTCCACTATGATTAGAATGCT